TGATATTCTGTTAAGTCATACGTTTTCTTCCATGGTAGTGTTTTGTACAATGCACTATATTGTTGTGTTTGCATACTGAATACTTCCTTTGTGCTTGAATTACTACACTCAGCATGTTGCTGAAAATCCCTCTGTTTTTATTAAATTTGTGTCAAACTTTTGTGCAATAATCTGTTACAAAACTGCTTCTTGTTAGAGCCTAAAGAAAAATTCCAGTATGTCTTCCAAACATAATTTCACTTTACGGTAGGCATGGAGTTAAATTTTGACTCAACAGGCCATATTACTTTTTCCATTGTTCAAACGTTCACATTTTCTACTTCTGTCTTTTAGTGCCAAACACTGCTCCTCATTGCCAGTGCAGTTTGTCATAATTATTTTAAGAGCATTCTTCCTTGTGGATTTTTAACCATTTGAATACCGGGCAATTTTACACCTTCCTGCCCAGGCCATTTTTCACGTTTCAGCGCTCTCACACTTTGAATAACAATTGCGCGGTCATACTACATTGTACCCAAACTAAAATTTTATCATTTTCTTTACACAACTAGAGCTTTCTTTTGGTGGTATTTAATCATTGCTGGGATTTTTATTTTTTGCTAAATGAACAAAAAAAGACCAAAAAGTTTGAAAAAAAAACACACGTTTTTCTTTGTTTCTGTTATAAAAGTTTACAAATAAATAATTGTTCTTCATAAATTTAGGCCGAGATGTATTCTGCTACATGTCTTTGGTGAAAATAACCCAAATTAGGATGTATTATTTAGTTTGTAGGAAAGTTCTAAAGTTCACAAACTATGGTATAGATCTGAAAATTGATCAATCCTGAAGTACTGACAGCCAATCTAATTTCTTGAGGTCCAAGAATGTCAGAATAGTACAGATATCCCCCAAATGACCCCTTTTTGCAAAGTAGACAGTCCGACGTACTTCATAAGAGGAATGGGGAGTTTTTTGAAGTTGTATTTTTTTGTCATTTTTTGTAAAATGAAAAAATAAAAAAAATACTTTTCACTATTTTTATGTTTACATACTGTCACCAGTGCAGTACAGCGTCATCATATAACTGGCATGGCGGTGAACAGGGACACTGACTGGTGACAGTATGAAAAAAAATATATATTTTTTTATTATTTTTTTTTTTATTACTTTTTTTATTTTTTTAAGATTTTTTTCCATATTTTACTATGACCAAAGTAGTACAATATTACCATAGTAACATTGTACTCCTTTGGGGAAGTGATCAGTATTTTTTGTTTTACACAATTTGCTTATAGCAAAGAATTACTTTGCTATAAGCAAGCATTTACCTGAATGACATCGATTCATTCAGGTTTTTTTTTTTTTTGTGCTTAGCTGTGATTTGGCCACAGCTAATCACATGACATGTGCATGTGACCTGCTGTTACCATTCACAGCTAGACACTAGTATACAATGGATGGCATGAATGAAGCCATCCATTCTATACAACTGTCATGTGACCTGCTGTGATTGGTCACAGCAGGTCACATGGTACCGGCAACGGGGGCCGGTACTCAGATCTGTCATCGGCCGTGTCCGAGGTACACGGCCGGTGACAGATTGCGCCGCTGCGCGGCTCTTCAACCGCGCAAACTGTGCATGGGCGGGAGGACACCAAATGGCGTACACCCCAGAAAGCTAATACATTTTTGCGGCTGCCAAACGGCTATAGGCCGGGTGGCTAATGGTTAAACTGTGAAAATGGAGCAGAATCAGCACCTAATTAACTACTTCCCGACGCGCTATAGCAGAACTACTGCTACAGGGCGGCAGAACTGCGCAAAATCATGTATATATACTTGATTTTGCATTTTCCGGGAAGGGGGGACGCCGCGCTATCATTTGCAACTACAGATGATGATCACTGGCTCCTGGCTGGAGATTCCCCGCTGGCACCCGGCGATTGCCAAGAATCACTGACAGGGGAGAGACCTGTGTGTACACAAGACAGGTCTCTCTCTTGCCAGCAATAACATGCTGCTGTGTATTTCTCTACACAGCAGAGAAATACACAGCAGTGTGTTTCCCTAGTAAAAAACACACAGTAAAACAGCGCACAGTTAACCCTTTGATTGCTCCAGATGTTAACGACTTCCTGGCCAGTGTCATTAGTACAGTGTCATTGCTTTTTGTTAGCGCTTTACACTGTATTAGTGTCATTGGGATGTCAGTGGCAGTTAGTCAATCCCCCCCAGTGTCAGAATGCTCACCGCAGTCCCGCTATAAGTTGCTGATCGCCGCCATTATTAGTATAAAAAAAAATTCCAGTGTATAAATACTGCCATTTGTAGATGCTGTAACTTTCACATAAACAAATTAAATTAAAATGTATTGGGATTTTCTTTTAGCAAAGATATGTAGCAGAGTACATTTTGGCCTAAATTTATGATGAAATGTGATTTTTTTAAAAAAACATTTTTACTGGATATGTTTTATAGCAAAAAGTTAAAAATATTTTTTTTTTTTCTTCAAAATTGTCGATATTTTTTGTTTATAGGGCAAAAAATAAAAAACGCACAGGTAATCAAATACCATCAAAAGAAAGCTCTATTTGTGGGAAACAAAGAACATAAATTTCATTTATGTACAGCATTACATGACCGTGCAATTGTCAATTAAAGTAACGCAGTGCTGTATCTCAAAAAAAATGTCCTGGTCAGGAAGGGGGGTAAATCCTCTGGAGGGCAAGTGGTTAATAAAGGAGCACAAATCTATTAGGAACATTGTGCTGCATTTGCTATACTGTTAGAGCCAGACACAGCATGGAGAGCTGCTTGCTATGGCTCCCTCTGTCAGTTCCCCCATCCACCCCACTGCTCAGGTGAGAAGGAGGAGGTAGGCTGTTAATCCTGCATTTTCTGTGGTTAACAGCTGGGCGTATAAGGAGGGAAAGGAGCTTTGTCTTATGTTCATTGACAGACACAGCCTCTCTTCATTCTTGACCATTGGGTTTATGGTGCCAGGAGTAGGCCTATGGGCAGTCCTAGCTGGTATTAACCCTAGTTCTCCACTGGCACCTGTGGTTCCATAGCGTTTTTCCTTTTTTATTCTTTTTCTGCAGAGATCTTCAATCAACAATTGGGCTGGGCAATGAGCTGGATTGTCTATATTTAGTGGTCACTTCAGTCTGGGAAAATAGGGCACGCAGACCCTTAGCTATGCACTGGGTCAGCTGTGACAGCCTCATCCTGGACTGGGGTGGCCAGTAAGTTAAACGTCTCGCATGGACACACATTACTGTGTACCTACATTCTGTGTCAGTGTTACCCAGCTCCCCCCCCCCACACAAACACACACTTTGGTGGCTAGGGGGATCTGTCTAGCGAGCCTTACCTGCACACTCCGCTGGATCAAAAAGTAGAAATGCCCCCAACTTCCCTCTCCGGACGTGGGTTAGGACGTGGGTACTCCCTGGGGTAATTGATCCTGTGTGGTCCCCTGCTCCCCCATAGGCCTGGATCCCTTTAACATTCCCCCCCTCTTCCCTCACTGTGTGAGGGATCACTAGGCGGATGCGACATACGTTCTGGTTACTCCATGGATCCATTGTTGTGTCATATGTGGGTCCCCTCTTCCTAAGCTTCTCCTTCATCTGTTGTGCAGGATACAGGCTGAAGAGATTCCAGTCCTTCTTATGGTCCCAGCTTGGCTTCATCAAGTCTGGTACACCAATGCAGTGTGGCTGGTAACGGAAGCTCCCTAGCCGTTGCTTCCAAGGGGAGATCTTCTGTCTCCCAGGACCGATCATCCACAACGCTTTACTGTTACTGGCTTGATTTCTTGACAATTGAAAGCCAGGTTCTGAGAGTCAGGGGTTGTTGAGGTCGGTGATTCTTACCATGATGAAGGTCTGTAAATGTACCTCCTGGAAGATTTATCATCACACTTGGCAGACTTATGTCTTGTGGTATTAGGCTACGGGTGTCCTTCCACATACCTTGTCGGTGGTTCAGATCTTGGCCTTCACCAGCACGGTGTCGAGCACAGGCTTGCCGTGAGTACCGTTAGGGGTCAGATCTCTGCCCTTGTGGTCCTATTTCAATATCCCTTGGCCACGCACTCCTTGGTTCATACTTTTCTTTGGGGGGTTCATCATGTGGTGCCCCGGTGCATTCTTGGTTGCCACTGTGGGACCTGAAATTGGTTCTTTTGGTCCTTCTGAAGCCTCATTTTAGGATTAGGGTTGGGCTCCTACCTTCCTGGTTATGGCACACTCTACCAGGTGATTACTGTCTTGAGCATTTTGACATCAAGCGTCTGTGTGTCCAGTTTGCAAGGCTGCTACCTGGTCATCTGTGCATACCTTTTTACCAATTTTTACATGTTGGTGTTTTGCATCTTCGGATGCTTATTTTGACTGCAAGGTTTTATAGATGGTTGTTTGAGGTTCCTTGTTTCCCCTGTGCGGGTATTCTTTGGGTGGTTGCCTGTTTTGCCTGTTGGCTCCTGTTTTGTTTCCCACCCCTCCACCAATGAACAGAAGAGAGAATAGTCTCAGAGAAGGATTTTACGGTGAGTAACAAAAAATCCTGCAATATGTTCACTGTACAGCAAGTGAGCTGTCCACCAGGTTACCAGTAGACAGTGCACAGTCCATACACCTGGTCCAATCTGGATTGGATCTGCTGCAGTTTTCTATAATACATAATGTTAATATAATTGTATGTAAGTGCTTCATTTGTGAACAACCAGGAGTAAGAACCAGCCGACAAAGAACTCAGAAACATCTTATATTATAGCAAGCATTCTGCATGTGCCCATCTACACAAATCCTGATTGTTATTTAGTTACTTCAAAGTTAAACTTTTTTTTAGCATGCTGCTTTGGTAATATATACAGTATACCCTGGATACTATTCACTGATACTATAGTATGCTATTGAATAGACAGTTCATCTTCATGGACATGCTTTATTATGCTTTTCAGTTCAGTTCCAATTGATGGTGGAAGACGTACGTTATTGTTTATGCTTCCGCAGCTTCCTGAAGTGATTCCTCTTAACGTAGGAGGCATGTGCTTCACCACCAGATTGTCAACACTTCACAGATATGAGGACACCATGCTGGCAGCCATGTTCAGTGGACGACATCACATTCCGACAGATTCTGAAGGTCGATACTTCATTGATAGGGATGGAACATATTTTGGGTAAGTTGACAGCTGTATCAAATAACATCTGCGTCTTCAGGTTTTGCCCATTATTATTGGAACAGCTGTCATACATAATTAAGACCCCTTTCACACTGTCCCACTACGCTTTTTCTAATGCGCAGCTAACCTGCAGTTTTTGTGCGGGTTAGCAGCGTTTTCCCCTAGACTTCTATGCGGTCTTGCGGTTTTGGTGTGGTTTCAGAAAGTGCACCAAAACTCCTGCAAGCTGCATCTTTGGTGTGCTTTATAAAACCGCACCAAAACCAAAGAACCTCATCGAAGTCAATGGGAAAGCGCTGCCAATCTGCACAAAACCCACAGATTAGCTGCACTTTGCCCAAAGCACAGCTGGGCCGCTTCGGGGGAATGTGAAGCGGCTCTAAAATAGTGTATTGCATTCAAAATGATTTAGATCAAAGGGGCATTGCAGAAATCATTACAACAGATATAATAAATACATATATGGAATTATATTATGATTAATATACAGGATGCAGCCAGCTGTTTTACATTATTTCCTTTATCAGAGGACACTTTGGGGGGAATTTACTAAAATGTGCACACAGAATCTGGTGCAGCAGTGCATAATAACCAATCAGCTTCTAGATTTTATTGCCAAAGCTTAATTGAAGAAGTTAGAAGCTAATTGATTACTTGCACAGCTGCACCAGATTCATTGTGCACCAGTTATAGTAAATTTCCTTCTTTGCATGTTGATTCGTTCTATTAAAACAACTCAAAACATTAATTTCACAATATTAAGTAACTTTCATAGTTGGTCATTTTGAAACTGGAGATCAATTGATTCACACATCCACACTTAACAGAGTGGACGGATGAATATGTCGATTCCCCATAAACGTGTATGGCTAGCTAGGGCTGGTAAAAGTGTAGCATCAGGCAGAACTGTTTTGCCAAGCAAAATATTTCAGGTATGGTCCTTGTCTTATCTGTTTGCCTAATATTTGGTACTCAGCAGCTTCAGTCAGATGCATTGGTAAAGACTCATAAACCCTGATAACATGTGTAGCATTGCCATCAAATAAACATTCCTTGTTTTCCAAAGGCAGAGCAGAGTAGCACCCTTGAGACCCCTGTCATTAAAGGTAAAAATAACTGGAGGGTGGGATCTCAGCAGTGCCAAACATGATTATATTATAAGTATAAGAAGAGGCCTCTATACTGAGTGCACTGTGGAAATCAATGATCTGCAGCATATGTAAACCAGAGTCATAAGAGACAGAATTATTGTATGTGCATGAATAAGACCCATTTTGGATAATAGAAAAAAAAAAAGCAGCTAGCTCAGTAAACAGGTAATGGAGACACCTTGTAGTGTCATGGGTTTTCGTCCTGTTCCCATGATACCTTATATCAGTCTGTGTTGTTCTGGTGAAGCCACTGTAATTACGGTACTAAAAACCGTAGAAACTCTAAAATCAGGGCTACCAACAGGTAAAGTAGCACCATATTGGGTTTATTGTATTCTAAGCACTGATAAGGGAATAGTTAAAGTGTATGTAAACCCTAGCAATGAACTTCTTGTATTTTCTCACTTTTGGCCTGCTAAATATATCATTGTTTTGTTATATCTATTCGATAAGTGCAGAAATATACAGTACAGTACATCCTTCACATTTTTGTAAATATTTTATTCTATCTTTTCATGTGACAACACTAAAGAAATTATACTTTGCTACAATGTAAAGTAGTGAGTGTACAGCTTGTATAATAGTATAATTTTGCTGTTCCCTCAAAATAACTCAACACACAGCCATTAATGTCTAAACCGCTGGCAACAAAAGTGAGTACACCCCTAAGTGAAAATGTCCAAATTGGGTCCAATTAGCCATTTTCCCTCCCCGGTGTCATGTGACTCTTTAGTGTTACAAGGTCTCAGGTGTGAATGGGGATGAGGTGTGTTAAATTTGGTGTTATCGCTCTCACTCTCCCATACGTGCCACTGGAAGCTCAACGTGAAACCTCATGGTAAAGAACTCTCTGAGGATCTGAAAAAAAGAATTGTTGCTCTACATAAAGATGGCCTAGGCTATAAGAAGATTGCCAAGACCCTGAAACTGAGCTGCAGCACGGTGGTCAAGACCATAGAGTGGTTTAACAGGACAGGTTCCACTCAGAACAGGCCTCGCCATAGGTGACCAAAGAAGTTGAGTTCACGTGATCAGCGTCATATCCAGAGGTTGTCTTTGGGAAATAGACGTATGAGTCCTGCCAGCATTGCTGCATAGGTTGAAGGGGTGGGGGTCAGCCTGTCAGTGCTCAGACCATACGCCAGACACTGCATCAAATTGGTCTGCATGGCTGTCGTTCCAGAAGGAAGCCTCTTCTAAAGATGATTCACAAGAAAGCCTGTAAACAGTTTGCTGAAGACAAGCAGACTAAGGACATGGATTATTGGAACCATGCCCTGTGGTCTGATGAGACCAAGACAAACTTATTTGGTTCAGATGGTGTCAAGCGTGTGTGGCGGCAACCAGGTGAGGAGTACAAAGACAAGCGTGTCTTGCCTACAGTCAAGCATGGTGGTGGGAGTGTCATGGTCTGGGGCTGCATGAATGCTGCTGCCACTGGGCAGCTACAGTTCATTGAGAGAACCATGAATGCCAACATGTACTGTGACATACTGAAGCAGAGCATGATCCCCCTCCCTTCGGAGACTGGGCCGCAGGGCAGTACTCCAACATGATAACAACCTCAAACACACCTCCAATATGACCACTGCCTTGCTAAAGAAGCTGAGGGTAAAGGTGATGGACTGGCCAAGCATGTCTCCAGACCTAAACCCTATTGAACATCTGTCGGGAATCCTCAAACGGAAGGCGGAGGAGCGCAAGGACTCTAACATCCACCAGCTCCATGATGTCGTCATGGAGGAGTGGAAGAGGACTCCCAGTGGCAACCTGTGAAGCTCTGGAGAACTCCATGCCCAAGAGGGATAAGGCAGTGCTGGAAAGTAATGGTGGCCACACAAAATATTGACACTTTGGGCCCAATTTGGACATTTTCTCTTAAGGTTTGTTCTCACTTTTGTTGCCAGGGGTTTAGGCATTAATGGCTGTGTGTTGAGTTATTTTGAGGGGAGAGCAAATTTACATTGTTATACAAGCTGTACACTCACTACTTTACATTGTAGCAAAGTGTCATTTCTTCAGTGTTGTCACATGAAAAGATAGAATAAAATATTTACAAAAATGTGAGGGGTGTATTTACTTCTGTGAGATACTGTACCTGTTGATTTTGCCAGAGATCATGTGAGCTGATAAATTACTGTGCTCTTTGCCTTTGTACAAGGAGGAATTATAGAGAATAGGAAGGTGGGAGAGATGAGACGTCCATGTTCCCTGTAATGCATCAGAAATATTAAGGGGGAACAGTCTATTTGGGTGCACTTCCATGGGATTGTAGTAGCCACCCTTCTCCTTCCTACCTGGTTATTTTCAGAACACTCTGCGTGGCCAGTTTAGGAATTCCTTTCAGCTTCCTCATGACACTTTTGTGAGTGTTTTGTGGTTCGTGCCTCTCCCTTCAAACCAGCTCAGCATCAGTTGACTGGGCTCACAGCCCTTCCCTTCACTTCCTTCCCATTGCCAAAACGGAAAGTGAGAGGAAATCCCTTCAGAATTGAGGTAATCCATGGTTGTCACCAGGGTCACTGAAATAATTGTCTCAATTGGAAGATTTGCCCTCTTTTCCTGTTCTGGGAGCAATCCAAAATTTGGGGTTTTCTTTTACTTTCCCTTTTGGTGATAATGGTAAACAGAGCAAATAGAGAGGTTGAATCTTCCAAATAGAACAGTAAACAGAGCAAATAGAGAGGGTGAATCTTCCAAATAGAAGAACAGTAAACAGAGCAAATAGAGAGGGGGAATCTTCCAAATAGAACAGTAAACAGAGCAAATAGAGAGCGGGAATCTTCCGAATAGAACAGTAAACAGAGCAAATAGAGAGGTTGAATCTTCCAAATAGAACAGTAAACAGAGCAAATAGAGAGGGGGAATCTTCCAAATAGAACAGTAAACAGAGCAAATAGAGAGGGGGAATCTTCCGAATAGAACAGTAAACAGCAAATAGAGAGGGGGAATCTTCCGAATAGAACAGTAAACAGAGCAAATAGAGAGGGGGGATCTTCCGAATAGAACAGTAAACAGAGCAAATAGAGTGAGTGAATCTTCCAAATAGAACAGTAAACAGAGCAAATAGAGAGGGGGAATCTTCCAAATAGAACAGTAAACAGAGCAAATATAGAGGGTGAATCTATTGAATAGAACAGTAAACAGAGCAAATATAGACGGTGAATCTTCCAAATAGAATAGTAAGCAGAGCAAATAGAGAGGGGGAATCTTCCGAATAGAACAGTAAACAGAGCAAATAGAGAGGGGGAATCTTCCAAATAGAACAGTAAACAGAGCAAATATAGAGGGTGAATCTTCCAAATAGAATAGTAAGCAGATAAATAGAGAGGGTGAATCTTCCAAATAGAACAGTAAACAGAGCAAATAGAGAGGGTGAATCTTCCAAATAGAACAGTAAACAGAGCAAATATAGAGGGTGAATCTTCCAAATAGAACAGTAAACAGAGCAAATAGAGAGGGGGAATCTTCCGAATAGAACAGTAAACAGAGCAAATATAGAGGGTGAATCTTCCAAATAGAATAGTAAACAGAGCAAATAGAGAGGGTGAATCTTCCAAATAGAACAGTATACAAAGCAAATAGAGAGGGTGAATCTTCCAAATAGAACAGTATACAAAGCAAATAGAGAGGGTGAATCTTCCAAATAGAACAGTATACAAAGCAAATAGAGAGGGTGAATCTTCCAAATAGAACAGTATACAAAGCAAATAGAGAGGGTGAATCTTCCAAATAGAATAGAAAACAGAGCAAATAGAGAGGGTGAATCTTCCAAATAGAACAGTAAACTAAAAAACAACAACATACTTTTAAAGTGTTATTAAACCCCAAACCAAAAATGTACTA